TGGTCGGCAGACAGCATGCAGACTGTGGCGGGGCTATGGTAAGTAAGCTCCCCAATGTCGTCTGGCCCAAAGGGGCATTCGTAGAGACAGTCAAGGTATGGCAGCAGGAGTGGTTCTACATCACTGAACCCCGCGACGCCAACTGGGCAGCCACGCTTGACTTCAGATCTGGACCCCCCACGAGACTCACTTCATGGACCGCCAAGGGCCTTGACTGGGGGTCCAAATTGGAGGTGCAGATGCTACAGAAACGCATCTCCAATATGCTGGGTGAAAACACTGGTCTCACAAACGTGATTCAAGTGATGCTCTTCCGCCGCACCCTTCCCTGCCAACTCCGGGACTCCCCCATGTGGGAGTTCAATCCGGAGGAGCCACGGACCCTGAAGCGCTTCTTCGGCACCATGCACGAAGTTATATGGAAGCAACTCTTCAAGGCTCAGAAAAAGTGGCCGAAGAAGATTGAAGACATCGGGCTCGACATCGAGAACCCGGCCATGACGGTAAGCATAATCTTTTCGAACACCAATCCGGTCAATATTAACAAATGTTATATTGCCTGCTTTTTGTACAGGGCTGGACGACAAAGGCGGAGCGGATCAACAGTCTGGCACTGCTGCCTGAGAACCAGACCACACCCCAGCTGACGGAGATGCTGGTCTCGGCGCCTTATCAGCCGCCGGAGAAGAAAACCAAGAAGAAGAACGGCAAGAAGGCCAAGGGAGGCCCCTGCCACAAAGGTCCTTCGGAAAGAGAGTCCGAAGAGACCGAAGCCCTCTCTTCCCACGAGGGAGATGAGGAAGAAGAGGAGGAGGACGACGACGACAAGGAGGACGAGGAGGCAAAAAGCGACTCCCCCGTAAAGGGAGGAAGAAGAAGAGGGCAGCCTTCAAAGACCCGGAGGGGGAGGCACCCAAGAGAGGGAAGCTGATCCTCTCGGACAGTTCGGACTCATAGTCCAAACTAGTCCCCAATAAACCTCTCATGGTGAAGCCCCTGGCCGAATCGTAAGTATCCAGAAACTTACTGTTTATCTTCGGTCCACTTGCTTCCATTATGTAAGTTATTTTGTTATTTGCCTTTCAGCCCTCCCCGCGAGCTCCCACATACTCCATTATCGGAGGGGAATTCTCTGCTGCCCGAGATGGCAGAGAGTGACACGCCGCCGCGAGCTCCCTCCTATCGCCATGGAGGACACCGAAGTGTCATCTCGAAGGGCCTCTCCTGGCCGAGGGGGGTGGGGACGAAACCGTCGAGAGGGCGCCCGAGGTTAATACCTCGGTCGCCGAAGACCTAGGGGAGGCAGCCCCTATGACAATTGACGGTGGGGAGCCCCAACAATCCGGGCCCCCGCCGAACACCATTCCGGAGACCAGCATGGCTCCGGGATCGGATAAGCAGCCCTCTTCGAAAGTCGGGGGAGGAGCATCGGTTCCATCGGCAGCCTCCACTAATCCGGAGGCGCCCCATGCTCTGGAGGAAGCGCTGCAAAGTGCTTCCATCGTGGAGGAGCACCGCACCCTGATGGGTGCGGTCATGGAGAAGGTTCAGTCTGCTAAAAGCGGACTGAACGAAGCCTTCTGCAGCCTACTGACAGGCTTTGAGGTATGCGACGTAATGTCCTAAATAACTTTTCCTCATAGAAGAATAGACCTGTGTATAGACAGTAGCCCCTGAGACTCTATCCGGTTTAAAGAAACTGGTCAGAGGATCCACATTGTATTCAGCAGAGTAATATATTGTGTTGTTTTTTGTAACAGGCTTCTATGTTGGCGGCAACCGCCCAGGCCGCAGAAGTTTCCGAACTCAATCGGAAGCTTCGGGAGGCTGATGAGGAAATAGACCGCATCAACAAGCGGTTCAATGAAACGCAAGGTATGTGTATGATGTAGAAATTTATTTTTATGCCAGAAGCGATATGAACATTGAGAGGTTAACTCATAGAATGCTTTGATTATGAGCATATCCAAGGGTCTCCTAACATAGACAACACTGTCGATATGTTAACCTCTCAATGTTAGGAGACCCTTGGGAAGACCATTTTCAGGTATGCTTATGATGTAGAAATTTATTTTTATGCCAGAAGCGATATGAACATTGAGAGGTTAACTCATAGAATGCTTCCGTGTTGAGGGAGAAGACTGTGGTCCCAAGTGAATTCAATCTAATTTATTGAAGGTTGTGTGTTGTTGGTTTGATTAATATATATATCTAAGTGTTTTTCTCACAGCAAAAATAGCTGATTATGTGCTGCATGTAGTTGGTTTTATAATTAAAACATGAATACAAAGATAGGTAGTGAGTATAGTGCTGGTTGTTTCTCAATAGATTTTGAAATCCAAGATAATTCAGTCGATGTATGCTGAACAAGAAATTGTTCGAGTATAGAACAGAGAAACGACAATGTATCATGAAGTTGTAAATGGTAACGCCCTATATGATCAATGGTAGCTATTGACCGAGATGATAGTGCTCCGAGGAAGAAGGCGGCGTAATGAGTTCGCAATGAACAAATAGGCAAATGTGCAATGTTCAAATGACACAATTCACTCTGATCAGCCTGTGCCCAATGTTCTTTCGGCCCGTGGCAGCCTCCTCCGCACCTGAGTATACTAGAATACAATATCCAAAGGGGACCACGAGGTGGTATCACAATTCATATCGAGCAACCTGACACACATGCTCCAAATGCCATTTTCAATTAACGCATTGCTATTCAACACCCGAATTATATTACAAATATCTTTCATCATCCCGCCTTTTGGGCAACTGGTATCCTGGCCATAGCAAGAATAAAATCTGTCAGCCAACTAATAATTAAGATCAGGTTCAGCCTCTCTTTGTGAACTTATGTCGGTAATGTTTCTTTTTGAACTTTGCCATGATGTCTGTACAATATCCACATTTCTAACTTCCAAAAAATTACTGATATACGAGGCAATGTAAGAAATATTAACATGTGTCCTTATCTCCGCCTCGACCTCCATCTTCTGGTGTCATGAGGCCTCAAGAGCTGCACGGGTGCAGCGGGGATCCGTAGCCACCACTCCCTCAACCTCCTCACCAGCTTCTCGCTGCTCTTCTTCCTCAGTGGCATGTGCCTCGTGTAAGCCTCCAACAGGATGAGCACGAATATGATCCGGAACGGCATAAACGCAAATGCTGCAGCCGCAACGAGCATTGTTGTCGCGACTTTGTTCGTGCTCTGGTACCATGTAACAGTTGTCAGATAGGCTAAGTTACGCAAAGATTTGGTATAGAATGGGCTGAAACATAGTATAGGCTTGGGGCAGAGGATTAACCTGCGGAAAAGCTGCGAGCATGAGGGACCGAAGCTTCAGGAGAAAAATGTTCCCAGCTTGGACATGTGCCTCCAGCTGCGAGATGGCTTCCTGTAGAGCAAGGAGTTGTTCAACGGTTCGTCGACGAGGCGGGGTTGTGACTTCGAATGCTTCGATGAAATGCCTATTGCCATGGTGCTTGTTCCATAGCATGAAAGCGGTAGACCCAACCAAAAAGCCGGGAAATATGTACCATATCAATCCTCTGCAGATTGCATACAAATAAAAGGAATCCCATCATTTATGTTTGAAGTGATAGGCAAGAAGCTTGTTTGGATAAAGAGAAGGAAAAATCTTCTGTTATATCATTAGATATGCTCAGTCCTGGACCATGAACATTACCTGTAAACTATGTAGAGGAAACAGAGCAAGAAAACATATGACTTAAGTGGATCTTCCCACTCAGCCAGAAAGACAAGCCTTTTGCCTATTTCAATCAAAGGAAACACTAGTTCCTGCATGTTAAGATGCAACCAATAAAACATCAGTAATCCTAATAATAATCCATTTAAGTCCACGTTGCCTTTATGAGTAATTCGGTATCAGTAAAATCCTGCCCAATTATGAGTAATAGAAGTTCAGGGTTTTGCATGTCTCTACTGATCATTATTTTTTCGCCATGATCTTCAATGTTCATTTCAGACTTTCAGAATGAGTACCTGAACTCAAATATATTACACAAGAATGTCAAATACTCAAAGAAAATGATCAATACCTTCAGGACAGCCACATTGGTGTCAATGTCCTCCACCTTGACCTGATCGAGTGTCGCGCGCGCGGCCTCCACTCTACCGGAATACCCAACAGATCGCTCCAGAGCCATTTGCACGGAGCTAGTCCTTCCAATCTGCACATCTCCGACGGCGAAATCCCTCTCCTCGGGATTGTCCTCCTCCCTGAGCGTCAGCAGCCCCATCCGCACGAGCGTAAATGCCGATAGCGGAAATGGGTCCGCGAGTGCCAGCTCGTCGGAACTGCCCTGAGCTGCCAGGTCATCGCCTCCCCTGAACCTCGAGCAATGTTCCTGCAGCTGGCCATACAATGCCTCCAATATCTTGTCCCCCTTGGGCAGCTTCTCTGCCAGGTTGAATGCCAGGGTGGTCTTGAAGTAGGCCGGCAGTATGTGGAACCCCTCTTTCACGGCGCGGTACCGGAGGATCCCCAGTGTCGCAACAGCGAGCGCCTCCGCCTTCTTGAAGCCGGTGAGCCGGTACCTCCTGATAAACTTGTGGGCGTGCAGCACCTCCTTGATCACCGCGAACCAGTAGTCCCGCCGGCTGTGGCCCTTGAATTGGGGAAACTCGAAGAACACTGGCTCATTTCTATCCATAGGTACCAAAACTAAATGTGTTATAACTTATAAACATATGTCATATATGATTGCAAGAACTGAAAATTGCAGGCCATTGTAGGATCATCAGGCACTCACTCACATGGAGCTAGATTTGTACATGACCGCCTTGTCGAAGAGGTGGGCACCCCATGGCCCCGTGGACTCGCGCTTCACGCACTGCTTCAGGTCCTTGGTGAGGTCGTAGACGACGGCGTCGCCGTAGGAGAAGTCGACGCCGATGGCCTCGAAGTAGAGGGCGTGGTTCGTCAGCGTGAGCCTCCCTGCGAGAATGAGGACGGATCACCTTATATGAGGCCCTCCTGAAGGAGCACGGACCAGCAGCGCCGGGGCAAAAATGTACCATAGGGAAGGTGCTTAACCAGGCCACGTGGACGTGCCGATGTGCTGCAGGACCGGCTGCGTCGTGGCGGCGCCGAAGATGTCGAGCACCACCTCGCCGTCGCAGAGGTCCAGCGCCGGCGCCTTGTGCCCGCCCGATATGCATTTCGTCGACCTCAGCACGCTGGTGATCAACAGAGACATGATATGATGCCACATTGCTGCGATCCACGCAAATGGATGTTCAGACTTCAGAGCAGAGGATGTGTGTCACCTACTCGTCCAGGCTCTTGAGGTACTTGTGGTAGATGAGGAAGTGGAGGCGGCCGCCGGTGGAGTTGGTGAGAGCGTCGAAGAGGTTGCGGACGGTGATCGGGTGCGCCACGGCCGGGCAGGCCGGGGCGATCTTCGCGAACGCCTCCGGCCCGACCGTCCTCCTCCCGTCAACCTGCACATCCATTCCAGAATCCATCAACGAATCATATGAACATATGACCGAATAGATTGAGCAAGAACAGAGCACAATTATGTGGAGCCGAAGCCATGGACTGACCTGAATTGCCGTCTTCGTGGGGCTGGAGTAGAATATGGACCCGCCGTCGTCGTCATCGTCGTCGCCGTCGCCGCCCCAGGCGAACGCCGTTTTCTACAATGTCCGAACCATCAATTTTGATCAGTCACTAAGGTGAACTGCTTCCTGCCATCGATGCGTCAAGTGGTTTCGATGAGCCGAACCTGGAGCTCCGCGTCGGTGTCGTGGTCGGGCGCCTCCCAGGCGAGCATCATGTCGTAGGTGAGGGAGTGGAACTCCCTGTCGCCGAGATGGTCGTGGCGGCGCCGGGTCTCGGCGCGCAGGGCGACGTAGGAGCAGTACTCCACGATGCTCCTGGCGTAGGCGAGCGGCGGCTGCTCGTCCGGCTCCAGCCGCCGCACCAGCTGCTCCACGGGCACGCCGGCGATCCTGCATGCGACCCAAATGTTCGATCCGTCAGTCCCAAGAAAGAATCCAAGGACAGCGTAGGAAGATGGAATTGGGACACGGACTGCGCGCATCGCTGGACGACGGAGGCGGCGGTGGGCGAGAGCGCGGAGATGTCGCCGCCGCCCAGCTGCGCCGACGAGGACGCCGACGCCGCGTCGTCCGTGGCCATGGGCGGCGCCGCGGTATCTGGGTCGCCGCTCCCAGTGCCGTCGTCGCGCAGGCCGGAGAAGAGGCCGTCAAAGAGGCCCATCGCGGCGCGTGGCGGCCGGCCGCATCGCCCGTGACTCCGTCAAGCGCACGTACGCCCGGCCGAGGCGGCAGAGGGGATCGCGCGTGCCGTGCCGTGCCGTGCTCCGGACGCGCTGCCCTTCCCGGGGAAAGTGGTTGGTTGGTTGGTGCGCGCGTTCGTGCACCGTCTCTCTTTTTGCTCTGCTCCGCGGGAGCCGGGTGTCCGTCCGGTGCGCATGGATCGCGAGCACGCGTGCTTGGGGTGGCTTCGGGGGCACCAGGTTGCGGTTGCTTCAAGAAAAGCGGAGGAGATTGATGCTCCATCTGCAGATCTGCTAGCTTGTACTACGTCCTCCGTCGTTCTCGTCGCCGTGCTGCCACGCCACCGCTATCTGCCGTTGCCGCTCGGTTTTGCTGCCACGCAATGAATGTGCACGCGTTAAGCATCAACGTCGTCTCTCCCTCCCGAGAGAACGTCAGGTGCTCCTCCACTCCAATGCTCCCATGCTACGGGGCTTCTGCGCCGTTGGATTGTGGATCCAATGGTTAGCATCGGAGCCTTTGGACCTACGCGAAATTACGGGATTTAGGGGTTTTCTGCAAATTTGTTTGACCTCTTCATGCAACCGT